CTGGAGCTTCTCGACGTTCCTCTGCAGACCGATGCGGACATCGTTAGCAGGGCCCTTGAGTGCGCGGCGAACCTCGGAGCTGATGCGAAGGGCATTAGAGTGTGTGTAGTCGATCGCTGAGAGCTGCTGAGATAGCTTTGCGCTGAGGCGGTGAGGTAGCGACTTGGGCACGGAAGCCAGGACGTATGATACTCCGAGAGCAACTAGAGACGTTAGTACAGATCAAATGACAGCGAGAGGATGTGCTTACCACCAGCGATGAGACCGGGAATGATCAGTCTCCTCATGTTGCTCGTACCCATGACCTTTGCAGCACCAAGGGCACCGTCTAGCCAGCCGACGCCGCCGACTAACCTGCCACCTACTACACCGGCAACAGTCATGGCCATACCGGCACCGGCGGCCTTTTCTTGTCGTTCCCATAGACTGGCAACGTCGAAGAAGTCCCATAAGTCAATGTCTATGTCCACTTGGCGCGCGAGAGCGTGCACTGACTTCCTAAACATCCTCTCTGGGCGGAACATGACATCGGCATACAGGTTGTTACCCAGATGTAAAACACCCAAGTTCTTAATGCCATTGTAGCCTTGTACCGCTTGGGTTCGTGCATGTTCTTCGCACAAACGAACCGCTTCGGTGATCTCGTGGAGCATGGAGTCCCTGATATCCTCGGCGTACTGGTAGGCTGAGAAGAGGCCTGGGTATTCGATGCCAAGATCCTGCTCTGCCACCCTAGCGATAGAGTTGTTGAGCGTGTCTCGGGTGTGACCATAGACGTCTGATGTTGTGTCTTCGACCATACGATCAACTGCCTCTCCGGCTTCTGTCCGTGACTTCTTTGACTCTTCGAACTCGGGCTCGAGCGCCTGGATCTCCTTAGTGACACGGTCCAGTTCGCTCTGGGAGACATCTCGGTTGACAGTGGCAAGGTTGTTCATGTCTCCTAGCACGTTGAGGAGATAGGTCTTGGCGGGTGCCAGCTTGGATCGCGCCCTCTTCTCCAAGACGAAACGTCGCAACGAGGCCTCGAGATCGGCAAAGTCGCGCTGCTTCTCTGCTTCCTTGCCCTTTCCTTTGTCAGAGGGGTCATCGTCGCCGTCGTCATCGGGAGGGCTCCCTCCTCCGCCCATTGGAATGGCGTTACTGGAGACGAAATGCACCAGTTCGCTGGACTCCTTGAATGTGGCGGGACTGAGATTGGCGACTTGCTTCAGGATCATTTCCTGGCAACGGTTCTGATCGCGGATAGTGTCGAAGCCGTTGACCACCATAAACATGTATGCCTTCTCTCGCGCAGCGGTGAAGATGAAGTTCTTGGCGGACTCGGTGAAGTGGTTGGCGGCAGAAACGACGAAGACGACAACGTCAATCTCTTCTTGGCGAGCGAAAACGGCGGTTGTCTTCAAAGAGTCGGCGTTCAGACCCGGGGCGTCAATGAGAGCGATGTCGACGACTCCGTTGTTGAGGAGAGATTCATCCACGTCCCGGATGTCCTTGACGTAAATCTTGCATTGTGAGAAGTGGTCGTTGTCGATGACGATCTTCTCAAGGTCCTTCAAGTCGAATACAACATAGGTGCTCTCGTCGTTGCGGTTGTATGTCGAGCCGATGGGAATCGCATGGACCTCTTCGACTCCGCCGTTCTCTCTGAAGTCAAGCACCTCGCAGAATATGCTTGTGCAGGGCTGCTGGTCTTCGGGGAGGACCTTGCGTCGGAGGAGGGCGTTGCAGAAGGTTGACTTTCCGGCGTTGAGATCTCCGGTGACCAGGACCTTGCTCGATGTGTCCTCGATACGCTCTTTGAGAGAGAACAGATGGCGTATGCTCTGCTGGATCTGTCCGTCGAGGAGAGAGGCAACCGAGTTCTTCTCGAGCGAGTGTACCAGGTCTGTCTGGTTCCGGCCTCCCATGCGCAGTTCCAACTTCAGGACGGAGAAGTCGTGGGCCAGCTGTGGCGTGACCAGTCTGGGCTCCTCCTTGCGTTTCTGCTCGGCGGCTGAGCTCGATTCGCCGAAGTCGTCTCCAATCGTCGTGCCCGCTCGGCGGGGTCCTCGCGGTCGTTCGGGGGAGCGCATGTCGGGGTCGAAGTTGCCCATGGCCGACTGTGTGTGCTGCAGGCCAGGCCGTGATTCGTTGCGGAGATGTGCTTTTTGCTTTTCTGCCACCTGGACCGAGGGGTAGTGGGCCGGCCATTTCAGGTTCATCTCTTGGAAACTCTTCAGCGTCTCGATGGTGCCAGCAATTGCGCGGCCGAGGGCGTTCTTGTTCTGGTTGTAGCGCAGTTGCAGGACATGGCTGCGCTGGCGTTCGTGTTCGGCGTTCCCTGAGCCGGCAGACAGCATCGGTGATGGCCTGTCTTCGCCAATGTTAGACCGCCAATTCATGCCGCTGCCTTCGCCGTCTTGCATACTTCCGCCGTAGCCAGAGTCCTCGTCGAGCATAGAGACGAGGCGGGCGGCGGCGTCGCTCGTGGTGCTGCCGCCGCCGACCGTCATGTATCCGGGTCCAGCATTCCGGCGCGGGACGAAGTCGTCGGATTGGCCACGGCGGCCGCTGCTGGAGGACTCGCCGGGCGAGGAGGGGCGGCCGTTGCGTCGATCGGGATTCATCGAGGTGGTTCGGGTGGTTGCGCTATGCGGAGGGGCGCATGTCGTGATAGATGCGGAGGGGCGGGTGTGAAGTTGTGGAGAGAAGCGGTGTCGAGAAAGAATATGCTGAGACAACGTCAGAGTTGGTGTGCACACGCCACCTCGCACCCAAGCAGGGATTGGCTGTCGTGACAGCTACACGCCCACCAGGGCACTACCGCGGCATACACGTGTGCAGCTATTTCACGTCCACCTTTGCACGTCTGGTTGGGCGCTGTTTAATGCGTGAATTGTTTGGGTGAATTGGTGTATTAGAATTGCGCTTGCTTAAAGGTGGGCAAGTGGCAGATAATTCCCTCGAGGCTCGGCATCGCCATACCTGCGTCTGCGTATCTTGCCCTCCGCGCCTCAACCCGGCCGAACACCAAATGACATAATCGGGCAAGGCAGCCACTTTTGCAACTTGACGTCTCTGACCTCCTCCCATACAAACACTCGCCTGTCCAGAGCTGGTCTCTTCCTCTAGGCTTGTAATCTGAACGAAGTGGTCGGTCGTATCGCGCTGCCCGCCGCACCCACATCTCCAAGTCTACCCCAGGATCCTCCACAAACCTCGCCCAATCTAGTCGCAACCATGAACGTATGTATACCTGCTCGTATACATAGCCCATGCTGACAAACCTGGAAGATCGTAGAATGGGCCTTCGGAAAGCGCATGACGCCGGCGGAACGGTTGCGGAAACACCAGCGCGCACTCGAGAAGACGCAGCGAGAGCTGGACCGCGAGCGCGTGAAGCTTGAGAACCAGGAGAAGAAGCTAGTCGCAGACATCAAGAAGAGCGCAAAGAATGGGCAGATGGGGCCTCTGCGCATCCAGGCAAAGGACCTGGTGCGCACACGGCGGTATGCTGAGCCGCTGTCGCATCGCTGATAGGACATGGCTAACGTACGCAAGATACATCCAGAAGTTCTACCAGATGCGCACACAACTGCAGGCGATTTCGCTGAGGATACAGGTATGGTGGAGCTTAACTGGGTTCAGGATATGGCTAATGCTAGGCAGACTGTACGCAGTAACGAGCAGATGATGCAGTCCATGAAGGGCGCGACAAGTAAGTCTCTATCCACAACCCTTCCCTAAACTACTCTAACCTGTGCAGCACTACTCGGAAGCATGAACAGGCAGATGAACCTCCCCGCGCTCCAACGCATTGCCATGGAGTTTGAGAAGGAGAACGACATCATGGACCAGCGGCAGGAGATGATGGACGACGCTATCGATGATGCCACTGGCATGGAAGACGAAGAGGAGAGCGAAGACGTCGTCAACCAGGTCTTGGATGAGATAGGCATCGATCTTGGTCAGGCTGTAAGTACTCTATCACTACCAAGACCGCAATCGCTAACGTCGTATAGCTTGGCGAGACGCCCAGCGGACTGCAGAAGAACGCAGTACCTGAAGCTAGGGTGGCGCAGGCTGTTGGCGGCGGCGGAGCTGACCCTGATGACGACGACCTCCAGGCACGCTTGGACAGCCTGAGAAGGTGAGGTGAAGGGCTAGTACCAGAAGCAACTTCGCCATGCCCGCGCAGCATTCTTGGCTCGGTGTCAGCATGCATGATATCAGGCCGACGGCTTGAATAGAGGTTCTTTCTTGATCACGTCAAGAGACAGTGCAATATGCGTATGAAGATCTGAAGATCTCAAATTTCCGCTGTTCATGTTGCGGGATAGTCATGGCCGGCGGTTGTACATAGACATGTTAGTCAATTCAAGCCGGCTCCACAGTACGCGCCGGTCTGCATGCGCGCGAGCCTAGATCGTGCTGATCCGCAGCCCAAAACCCTGGATTTGCTTTGGGTATGCTAGCCTTGGTGATAGCAGAGTCACAGGACCGTGTATTTGGCCTGCGCCGTCGCCTCCATTCACACCCGCGCAGTACCTAGCGGGGTCGCTTTGGTGAGTCGAGTACCTGCGCAATTGATCCCCGCACTTCCACAACAAGCAGTCGGGTTCCCATTGCGCACGCTGCCTGCAACTCACTACCTATCCGCCCACGCTATCTCGACGATCGTCCAATCTCAACCCTGGAACGTGCCCGCGCCTTGTCATCTTTTCGCAGTGTCAAGCCTCCTCTTGCGCCAATTGATATTTCCGGCTGCTCGCCCCGCCATACACCCTCGACGTCATTACACCTAGCACCGACAACTCCCACGACTCCTCCCCTTGCATCCGTCTACATCTTTCCTACATTCTTGTCCCTCGAGCCCCGCTTATCTCATCCGCGAATCCGCCGCCGCCTCGGCCGCCCCATCTACATCGCCGCCACTACCCAGTCACCAAACGCCAGCGCCATCCTCCAAGCTGGCAGGTAACAGGCGCCGGAGCGCCCAGGGAGGCTTGCTCTCGAAAATGTTTGGGAATGCAAAGGACGACGAGAGTCCCGCCGTCGACACCCCTGCCAACCATGACGCGCCCAAACCCGCAGCCCCAGCGGCGGACAACGCAGCTGCTGCACCGACAAACACAACCAGCAACGGCTCCGCTTCCATAGATCGCAAGCCCAGTGACGCTTCCGCCCCCACCGAGAGAAAACGACGGAGTAGTGGCGTATCGCGTGCCCGCGACATGTTCTCGAGCGCGAAACAGTCGCTGCACCTAGGCGGCTCTTCTCCCACCAACACGACCAACAACACCATGACCGAAAAGGCCGCCCCTCAGACGCCCATGCAGAAGCTGGGCAAGTCGGATGCTGCCCTCAGTGTTCCCCAGGGCTCCCTCAACAACTCGGCTGGCGAGTCGGCGCCCGGCCCACGATCTACCTTCCGCGTCGGTGTCACAGAGGATAAGAACAAGAAGTGCAGACGAACGATGGAGGATACCCACGCATACCTGTACAACTTCCTGAGCACCCCAGCGCCCTCGTATGCCGCCGACAAGGCCCGCGCCATCTCCGACGCCAGCTCCACTCAGTCTGACCCTCTGTCGCAAGCCGTAGTTGAGACGGACAACGGATACTTCGCCATCTTCGACGGACACGCCGGAACCTTCGCTGCCGACTGGTGTGGAAAGAAGCTTCACCTGATCCTGGAAGAGACAATCCGGAAGAACCCCAACACCCCGATACCCGAGCTGCTCGATCAGACCTTCACCGTCGTCGACCAGCAGTTGGAGAAGCTTCCCTTGAAGAACAGTGGTTGTACCGCCGTCATTGCAGTTCTGAGGTGGGAGGACCGAGTACCTAACGCGCAATCGTCCACCGGCTCAGTGCTCTTCGCACCCGCGGCTGTATCGGCTATCAAGCATGCAGGCGAAGGCGGCGATGCTACTGATTCCGCTGTGGAGCCCGCAGCTGAACAGCAAGTCGAGGCGAGATTACGCAACGAGGCCAGCCGACAGCGCGTGCTGTACACCGCCAACGTAGGTGATGCGCGTATTGTCCTCTGCCGCAATGGCCGAGCGCTGCGCCTCTCCTACGACCACAAGGGCAGCGACGAGAACGAGGGACGCCGTGTTGCTAGTGCCGGCGGCTTGATCCTCAACAACCGCGTTAACGGCGTCCTTGCTGTCACACGAGCACTGGGCGATGCCTATATGAAGGACTTGGTCACCGGACACCCGTACACCACCGAGACTGTGATCCAGGCCGAGCAGGACGAGTTTCTCATTCTCGCTTGCGATGGTGTAAGTAATGCAGTCGCAAATTCATGACATTTGCTAACAGCTATAGCTCTGGGATGTCTGTTCCGACCAGGAAGCCGTCGACCTAGTCCGCCAAGTTCACGATCCGCAAGAAGCATCCAAGAAGCTCGTCGACTACGCCCTCGCACGCTTTTCGACCGACAACCTCTCCTGTATGGTCGTTCGCTTCGACAACAAGGCTCTTCGGCAGCGCAAGAACGACGCCGCGATGGGTGTGGACGGTGACCAGTCGACCATGAAGGGCGGAATCACCGAGGCAGACGCCATCGTAGCACAAGCGAAGAAGTCAATCGGCGAGCCTGAGATACCGGTCGAAGCAGCGGCGCAGGAGATTATCATGGAGGAGGCCGAGGCTGAGCCTGGTCCTGAGCTCAACTTGGACGCCGCAAAGGCAGCCAGGAAACACGACGCATAGTGTGGATGGGTTACGACTTGGCATATGGATACTGTGAATGGGGGAATATCTTGGAAGGGCAGGCGGCGTGCAATGTTCATGGGCAGATGGCGGCAGTGTATGATTTCTAGCGTACCTGAGGATCCTTTGGGACCAGGTTTCTTTCGGGTGCATTCCCTAAGGTTAGCCGTATCTCAGAACTGAGCGCTTCAATGTAATCAAAGCAAAGCAAGTAAAGATGAGCTTGTCACACATATATGTTTGCTGTCTGTTGTATGCTACATCTGTTTGCCCCGCGTGTTTGCGCATTGACATTCCAGGTCCACGATGCGCTAATGACGATCGTGGGGCCTCTACCTGCACCGACTTTCACCGCATTCAAGAAATCCTGCGTCAACTAGCCCCCATTCCCGCTGCATCTACCCCCGAAGCTGGGATCACTGGAGTCACGCTCATGCGGCTCCGAGGAGCAACGCGATAATCATGTCGGGCGTCGACACGGCAGACTCTACGACCAACGCCCTCCCGAGCGATGCGCGACCCGCCTTTGTGACGCCGCGGGACCTGCTCCAACAGTCCCGAGCGCCTCTACCCCCGAAAGAGCAGCCGCGCCAACTTTCAGCTGTTGACCGCGAGCAACTGGACGGCCTGGTATGAAGTCTGGATCGCGGACAGTCGCTGCGGTAGCTGACAAGAGCTAGAGAACCATCAGAGCTTTCCTCAAGGCCAGAACGAGCTACGATGTTCTTCCTATAAGCTATCGCCTGATCGTCTTCGACACGGCGCTGCTCGTTAAGAAGAGTCTGAACATACTGAACCAGAATGGTGAGCTTGGACATGGTGTATGGAAGCACGAGCTGACGCTGTATGTAGGAATCGTCTCAGCGCCGCTATGGGATTCCAAGTCATCTACCTTTGCCGGACTCCTCACGACATCGGACTATATAAACGTCATCCAGTACTACTGGCAGAACCCAGACGCTTTGGCGCGGGTCGACCAGTTCCGCCTGAACAGTCTGCGAGGTAAGCGCTCGGCTTCGCATACCGGACACAAGCTCACACAGACAGACATCGAGAGATCTTTGGGCGTCAAACCCATAGAGACCATATCCATCCACCCCGACCGACCCGTATACGAAGCATGCCGCAAGATGCTCGAGTCGCGCGCCCGGCGTATACCCATTGTCGACAGCGATGACGAGACACGTAGAACCATGGTCGTTAGCGTCATCACCCAATACCGCATATTGAAGTTCATCGCCGTGAACGTCAAGGAGACACAGAAGCTGCGGAAGCCGCTGAAGGAGCTCAATGTCGGTACATACGAGGATCTCGCGACTGCATCGATGGATACACCGGTCATGGACGTGATCCACATGCTTGTTAAGAAGAGCATATCAAGTGTGCCCATCTTGGACCGAGCCGGTAGGTGGTAGTGTTGGATTATGATGCACTTGGCTAATATCCACAGGTACCGTGCTGAACGTCTTCGAAGCCGTCGACGTCATTGCACTTATCAAGGGCGGTGTATACGACGACCTGAACCTTACAGTCGGCGACGCGCTACTAAAGCGCTCAGACGTACGTCTGCACATCCTCATTATTTACACTCTTCTAACAACGTCCAGGACTTCCCCGGCATCTTCACCTGTTCGCTCAACGACAACATGTCAACCCTATACGACACGATCCGCAGATCGCGCGTCCACCGCTTCGTCGTCATCGACGAAAACAGCAAGCTCAAGGGCATGGTGACGCTAAGCGACGTTCTCGAGCACACGCTACTGGAAGGCATGGAGGACGAGTAGAACGACGCTATCCTAGACCACTTGTCAGCGAGCCACGTTAAGAGTCTTAGACTGCATGAGCAGAGAATGAGGAGGTGCGATGATTGAGACGACTGAATGTCTTGGTGGGAGGACTGAGAGCATGTTTTGGGAATAAATCAAGATATCATATAAGGCGTCTTGGGTGGAATCAGTGCGCGACTATGGATCGTGAAGGAGGTCTAGCGAGTCAATATTAACATGATTATAAATTCTTGCTAAATGTCTAAAGTGTTATTGCGTCCTGCGCCCACTTTCTAATGGTATCTCGAATAGCACAACGCCGGGTATACCCATAACAACAAAGACTAATTCTCCCTAGCCAGACGCCTCGAATCACTCACAACACCTCGAATCTACACCTACTCTTCCCCATCCTCTTCCCCATCCTCATCCCCATCCCCCACCCAGCTAGTACTCGCCCCAACCAACTCCAAAATCTGCGCTCCCCTCACCGTACTAACCTCTCCCCTCTCCACACTTCCCTTTACAAACGCCTCGAACTCCCCCTTCCCCATGACTTCCTGCCCCTCCTCCGGAAACAGCTGCGCAGACACCTTTTCCGCAATGTCGGCTGGGATGCGCCCAGCGGCGCTTTGCACCGCGAGGCCGAGGACGAGGCGCGCGGTCCGGATTAGGTGCGTGTCTGTTTGGCTGGTGGTGGTTGAGGTGGAGAGGGCGCGGTGGAGGAGCAGGATTGTTGTGCGGGAGTCGGGGGAGGAGGGTGGACTAGTGGTGGTGCTGGGGAGGGAGGAGTGGGTGGACAGGGGGAAGTCGTCGATACATGAAAGGGGGTTCTCGATTTCGGTTGTTGGTGTTGGTGTGGGTGTGGATAAGGGTGAAGGTGAATGACGGATAACAGTCGTCGTAGGCGACGGTTGGGGTGTGATATCTGAAAGCGGGTTTTCGATCTCAGTCACCGGTGTGGATAGAGGCGATGGTGATGGGGAAGGCCGTGAGTGCGAACTTCGGATGAAGAGAGTGGGCGTCGGTGTATCCGCGAGCGGGTCTCCAATCTCAGTCACTGGCGTGGATAAGGGTGATGGTGATGGAGTAGTCTGAATAGCGGTGCCAGGCCTTGAAAGAGGTTGCCGGATGTGGATGGTAGTCGGCGAGGCTTGCAGCATTGCTACGGCGGTCGCGGGGATGTTTTCGCCTATGACGGAGGTACTGGGTTTGATTTCAGAGCTTCTTGGAGATATGTATCTGGTGAAGCCCGTGAAGCCGGATGGGACGCGGGCACGGGATGGTGTTGCTGGGCTAGTTGGGCGGGACGATCGGTAGTAGGGGATGGGGAGGGAGTAGTTTATTGGACTTGTTGATGGTGAGGGGCTCGTTGGGGTGTCTTGGGGGAGTGGCGTGGATTCGAAGAGGGATGGGGAGAAGGAGAAGCTGGAATGAGAGCTCGGTGTCGATGTAGATGCGGAGTCGCTGCCGGTGTCAAGAGGATGGGGTCGGGTGGTGGAGATGGGGATGAAAGCGATTGGCTATAGGAGAGTCATGTTAGTGATACGCCGGGGAAAAGAGAGGAGGGTATAGTGAGACTTACATCAATCTGCGGTGCTTCATCCGAGATATCCAACGGTGAGGGTGTTCGCTCAGTCCAGTCTTCTTCCTGAAATGACACATGCTTATCACTACATTCTTCACATCCAAAATCCCTGCAATGAAACCCCGATGTTAGCAATCCGCCATCAATGTACGGGAGTATAGCTTCGGGTAAATCGCACCTCTTGCACCGTCCATGGTGGAACTTGTGACTGCAGCTCGTCCTCATCGAGGTCCTCGGGGTAGAGGCGGAAGACGAGGACTTGAGATCTAGGTGGAGAAGGTCGAGCAGGAATGTCTTGATGCGGCAATAACGACCGTGTGCTATGCAGTCTTGTAGTTCCAGGGGGGTTAGGGTGCAGTGTGATGCTGTCGCGTATGCCGGATTTGAAGTCTTGATTGGTGAAGGAGGGAGAGACGGTGAGTAAAGGTCCAAGAAAGATTGCGAAGGCGATGTAGGGGTTGGCGGCTCCGAAGGTATCGAGCATAGTGTGTGTGCGCTTGCGACTGTGAAGACGCTGCTTCGATCCCGTCTATGTCGAGCATGTTTGCGGCGTGCGTCTTCTTTTGGCTCGAAGCCGTTGCCGAATCTGAAGTCGTATCGTAACTCGCCCTTCCTATGGTGTGGCCGGTATTTGGATTCTGGTGTAGTTGAACCAGAGATTGTGCGACGAGGCCTCGTGGGTGTTGTGTTGATATGGTAGTTGTGATTCATAAAACTGTCTGAGCGTCGGAGTCGTTGTATGTCAACGTCAGACATACTCCGGATCTTAGGCTGCCGGCGATGGTAGTTAGTCTCTGAGGTAGTCAGGGGAATGAGGTGAGGATATATTGACAGCTGGTGGGTTGTGGCCTCCATGACTGCGGGGATAGAGGGTTCTGAGGTGGAAAGTAGCGTTGAGCTAGGAGTGTAGAGCAGAGTGTAAGTACCTTTGTTCGCCCGAGGTCGCAATGCTGGACTGAACTGATGGATGAATGAAGGCTCAGATGCCTTGTTTTGGTCCGATTGCACATCTGCTGACCCAAAACCACGGTAGAAAGGGCCCGAAAAAGGTCGAGACATTCACTGCCTTCATCCTGCTCCAAAGAGCACGCATTGTTACCCTCACTAGCGTGTGAAGAATGTCCGCGTCCTAAGAAAATCATCTCAAAGTCGCTACCGTCGATTGTCGTTGTGAGCATGATGTCAAAGCAATAGCGTCTTTGTTGAGATATGTCGCCTAGCCCATGGCGGCGGGACAATGACTTTATGAAGCGTACGTCGTCATTAAATTTGGCTCTGTCTTACTACGAGAATGGAATGTAAGGTTCGCGTCATTTTGCTGAAACCTGTCATCCTGATATGATTGATTGCAATCGTAACTTAGTTTGGGAGTAAGCTGAAGAGGCCGTGTTACAACACATTGCGCAGAGCCCTGAGTAAAGTTTACCGTTTGTTTCACCTCGTTCTGGAAGGCGGATGGAATCGGCAGGAAAGTTTCAACGCCGTCGAAGCGATCGATTGCACCATTATGTGACGATAACCGTTGCTGTCAGTGTCAAAATCGAGCGCTCGCCATTTCCTCGTTGGATGGTTGGGTGGTTGGGTAGTTGAAACCCGACTGCCGCCTGCCGCCGGCAAACTGCCCGCCTCACTTCCCGAACACCCAACCACCGCTCCTCGAACTTTACACGCTCAACCATCATGTATATCTTCTATGCGCGTACAGTTTCCGTCTCCTGCCATGGGCGAGATGACAATGGAGATGAAAAACGCGTTCTTTGGTAATGCCGCCCTTCGATGTGCGCGCGCCTTTCGCCTACCATACTAATTTCAACTCTTCGCAGCCAACATCACCGACGGTGAATTTGCGCGAGCGGGATTGCTACGGTTAGTATCTAAAGTTTTCGGGAAATTCTTGCTACGAAACACATCACAATTCGTCCGCTTGTACTGCTCATCGATTAAACTTTACCGGTCGACACTTCGACAGCGCACGACAGCCACTAGACGTACGCTTGGACGTCTTTTCACCACCTGTCCGCCCTCATCATCGCGACGCTTCGAAACACCAACACCGCCTCATCAAAATGAACGAACAAAACGAATCCCTTCTCTTCCGTCTCCCGCGGGAGTTGCGCGATGAGATCTACCACTACTATGTCTTTGAGGAAGGCGGCTACCACCACGATGCCACGTCCGACAAGCTTCGACAGGCTAGCGGACGTCCGATCAATTTAAGTTTGCAGTACACTTGCAAGAAGGCTGCGACCGAGATGAAGGGTCTAGCTCTACAGGTGAACAGGGTTACATTCCGTACGAAACTCGATGTACCCGAACCTGGTAGCGAATTATCGAACGCGCTCTTATGGAATCATCTTCTCCGCAAACGAGAACGACCTCTCCGACGTATGTTTGAACGGTCTTATACTCTGGTCACGCTCGAAGCTATACAACGCCTACGAGAGCTGCATCCGGATAGTACCGCGGCGGAGCAGATCGAGAAAGCGTTCATCAGGATGGGCGACAGGAGTCACTGGCTCAGCTCCGGGACACTGTTTAATGAAGGCGTGGTTTGGAGTATAGACTATTCAGCGCACACAACTCTACTACAAGACTTGTTGCAAATCCTATCCACCCACCCAGAGTTCTGGCGACTGACTTCCAAAGAGTATACCAGAGAGTCTGAAGAAAATGACAGTAGGCATGTTTCGGCTAGTCAAATTGAGCTGTTCTCTGACTTTGCACAGACGGTAGGATTGTACACGAAGATCTGGAGTACCCAAATCAGGCGATTCAGGCGTTGATGCTTGGATGGTGCCCGGACCCATGGCGAATGCCGGATCGCGCTGAACTTGACACGATCTTCGAATTTCTTCCACGGCCGCGTGCAATAGGAAAGGAGTCTGACCGAGGGTGGCGTTTGGACGACACGTACTATTCGGCTACCGCGGTGACTATTGGATTTTTAGAGCGCTTGCCATCAGCCACACGAGCGCATCTACGCAGTATCATTATCCAGGAAGATAGAATAAGCCTGGCACACAGGCAAACTCACGCTAGAGGCCTTATCCCTTTCTGCTGCGAGAACCTCAAGCTTCGAATCGAGAGGAGAGTAGACGTATTTCACCAGCACTACTTGTCCGAGCGCATGGGTTTAGAAGACGGAATCGAGGAAATTGCGCCCTGGTTCGTTGAAACCAAGTTCCTCAAGAGGCTTGGGATGCCACCCGAGTCCTTTTGCTTGGTTCTTCACGGGCCCACACCTCGAGCGAGCCAACGGCTGAGCGACCTTCTCATCAAGCTTGCCATTTGGGACGAGGGCTGCACTATACTCGAGCATAGATTAGGTCCCAGCTCCGATTATGTCGGTTACCCAATGCGTAGAGGATTTGCGGATGGTGTTAAAAAGATGGTTACAGGCGAGCTTCCTGCAAGAGTTGAAGCCGATATGGGACATGTGTGGGATATCAACCAGCTCCTGGACGACCATGTTGGCGAATGGCCTGCACTCAGCGAAGACGTATATGTGAAGACTGCCACTAGGCATGCTGGGCACGAATTGTCACTTCAAGAGGAGGACTAGACAGAACGAATGAAAGGCTGTAGTCTTTTCATCACAAATACCTCTACGACTCAAAGAACTCGGCTTTCGTCATACCGCTTCTGGGGTTCGTGGTACCACGGTACACCTCCGCCGTTGCGCCCTCGGCTGCGCCCTTGACAGCGCCCTTGACGAGTCTGACTAGTGCCGAATTTTGTGTTTCCCATATAAAAGGTCTTGGTTTCCCGGACCATCGCATTCTAACACCCATCCAAAGCCTTTGCGACGCCGCTTCTGTGTCTTGTCTTTAAAGTCTCATCACAAGCACTTAATCCAGAGAAAACCCTCTCAACCATGGCAAAGGACCCGACACTACAGAACGCGTTGGATCAGCACCAGTCTCTCCTCTTCCGCCTTCCACGAGAGCTGCGAGATGAGATCTACCACTACTATTCCCAAGCAAACGGTTACTACTACGACTCCACCTCTGGGACACTTCGAATGGACGGCGGCGAGTCCATTGATCTCAGCCTTCAATATACCTGCAAAAGAACAGCGGCGGAGATGCAGGGTATTGCCTTGGGAATCAACAAAATAACCTTCCGCACGATGGTCGATCTCCCCAGGCCTTCCGACCAACTCATGAAATCTCAAGTCTTCGATCATTACATCCGTAAAAGAAGGCGTACCATACTTAGTCGTATGGTCGAATGGACATATCCTCTAGTTACAGACGAGACCATGCGCCAGTTGTGCGAACGCCATCCAGCGAACCTGGCAGTCAAGAAGATGAGGGAATTGCATCGAGAGGGAGACAGTGATGGACCCCTAGCGGGCGGACACCTATGGGGTGACAATGGAGGTTTCGATACAGTCGATTATGACGAGTACTCAGCGGAAGCCATCGTAATTCTCCGAGATTTACTAGACATCATATCCACCGATCCTGGATTCTGGCACATGACTGCGAGCGACTTCGATGTCAACGCGAGGAGGGCCTTCTTCGTGGCAACTGAGCATTGGGCCACGCGTTGGGACAAATTCGAGGATTATCTCACGGAGCATATTCCCGTATACACTTCCAAGGCAGAACAGCAGCAAGTGCTACAGTGGCAACCTGACAGCTGGTTCATCCCAACAGATGACGATCTTGAGGCACTGGAAGAGTTTCTGCCTCACGACGAGAATTCTTATCCTTTCCATGCAGTACATATACGGGGAGGAAGGCGATCCTACTTCTCTGCAGCCGCCGTCGCGATTCGGTTCCTTTCACGCCTCAGCGAGTCTACACGTAGCCACCTCCGCTGGGTCACTATACTAGAAGATGAGTGCAGCGACCCTGAATCCTTCAGTCACGCAAGAGGCCTAGTTCCCTTTTGTATCTTCAACACTCAGTTGGAAATTGAGAGAAGAGTAGACATATGGCGTACCTCACTCATCGGTATTACGAGAGCAAACCATTGGTATACTGAAGGGAGGGGACGTGTGATGAGAGAGATTGGAATGTGGATTAGTGAGGCAAAGGCACTGACTGTCTTGGGGATGCCTCCTGGCTCTTACAATCTGGTCTTGCACGGCCCATCACCTCTTGCAAGCCAACAAATCTGCGATGCCACTGCCAGGGTAGCAATCTGGGACGAAGGCTGTAGGTTGATCACAAAAGCCGACCCTATCCATGGGCCCTACTTTGACCACATGCTTGGTGAAGGCTTCGCGGATGCCATCAAGGGGGTAATTGAAGGGAACATTCCAGCTCGGTTCGACGCAGACATGGGGAAGATTTGGGATATCGATCAGCTGTTGAGAGATCAGGATGGCGATTGGCCTGAAGACTTGGATGATGTTTTCGAACTTCGCAACCTGGAAGAGCCACCGGAAGGCTGGTGCGCTGCACATGAGGAGCGGTTTGGGGTGTGGAAACACAGAGACTCTGTTCGACTGGACTGGACAGAATACATGGAGGGGGTTGAGATGCTTTTTGAAGCAGAATGAGGTCAATGAATCCGACTAGATAGAGACGACGAATAGGTGGAATATACCAACATTGTCGGCGATGGCTTAACAACCTCATGGAAGGGGAAGTTGAGTGATCAGGAAGCTGTTTGGGCTGATGAATTCAAGACATCTCATCTTCGTTGTCCAGTCATCACACTCTATAATACCGTGTATCATCCATCTGAACTATATTATCTTCTTCTTTCAGATCTTCCTTGTGCAATTTATTTGGTCACCGAGGTACTGTTGAGTCTTAGACTTACATGCATTGATATTCGCTGCACCGCTTCTGTGTTCCAGATAATTCTGGTACGCCATCGCCCTTGCGCCCTTGGCAGCGCCCTTTCGCTACCATGGGAGACACACTCTCAGCTTAACGTCAAAAGCTTCGCGCGACACATTTCTCCAACACACACAAACTTTCTTGCGCCAAGATGCAGTCGAAAAAGCCCACGATCATGGACCAGCATCAGTCGGTATTCTTTCGTCTTCCTCGAGAACTACGCGACGAGGTGTATTACTACGACGTCTGGGAAGATCAGGGATACAGCCATCGCACGACTTCGGAGACTCTTCGGGCGACAAACGGGGACGCGGTTAGGATCAGTCTGCGATACACTTGTAAGAGGATCGCGAAAGAGATGGATGGAGTGGCATTCAAAACGAACGACATCACTTTCCGCACTATGCTCAGTCCGCCAGATATTACTGGCCATCCCACGAACGCATTCATGTACGAGCTTCTTCTCGGCGACCGTGGGTGTCGATTGAGATACATGGTACACTGGGCTCACAGCCTCATCTCGGTGGAGGTCATGCAAGAGCTGAGGAAACGATATCCATGGAGTCTTGCAGTACAAAGGATAACGGAAGAGGTTTCAAGAACCAAGAGGACCAATTTGCGATATGGATTCCTACCCACGGTGGAGACCCTAGACTTCTACAATGATGAATCTGTGCTGCAAGACTTGGTAGAGATCTTGGCGACATATCCGGAGTTTTCCTATTTGACTTCGAGAGAGTACGATATAGATTTACGAAAGGCGACGGGTCCCCAGGAAGATGACGAGGACTTGCCTTCTGAGGATGAGGATTACTTTTCTGACTCCTCCGACGAATCCGACAATGAGGATACGCCCTGCTACTCAAAGGAAACTCAGATGACTGTCTTGCAGTGGAAACCAAAAGCGTGGTGGATTCCAGACCGCACTGAGCTCAAAAGAGTATTGCAGTTCCTGCCTCCGTGGCCCAAAGTGCCTCCAGAGCCGCCTTTTCACGACTGTTGGGTACCATTCATGTACTTCTCAGCAGCTGCAGTAGCTACTCGCTTTATCGAGAGGCTTTCCCCGAACATATGCAGGCAATTGCGCAAGATCATTATCCAGGAGGACCGACTGAGCGTGTCTCGTTCAAAAACCCACGCACAGGCTTTCATACCGTTGTGCGTTGCGAATCCTGATCTCCGTATAGAACGCAGGGTCAATGTCTGGTATACCGAGTTCGTGCATGAGAGCGAATATTTCAACGAGTTCGCAACCAGAATAATAGAGGCAATTGCTGTATGGATCAACGAGGTCAAGACAGTGTACCAATTAGGTATGCCCGTCGGGTGCTTCAATCTAGTCCTACACGGACCTTCCAAAGGAGCAAGCCAGCAGCTTTGCGACGCCGTTGTAAGAGCAGCGATATGGCAAGACGGCGGTGTCGAGTTAGCTCGGCGGGAGCAGCGAGTGTTTGATTATGATTCAGACGGCGCTATAGCCGAAGACTTTGTCGACGTTATCAAAGAGATGCTGCGAGGGGAAATACCGGCGAGGTTCGACGATGCGGAAACGGGCGAGATATGGGATATTGAGAAGATCCTACGCGAACACGATGGTGACTGGCCTCGTCACGTCGGGTGTGTGGTTCGTCTCCAGGATTTCGACGAGCCGGATGGTGGTTGGGAAGCGGCGCGCGAGGTGTATGAAGAGAACGTCGAATGGATGGATAGAATAAACGGATGGAGACGATTGGCCGAAGAGGAGTAGTAGTTGCGAGGGAATTATTTCGGCACGCAGACCATGCCGTCGTAACTGCTACATGTCATTATGTAGAGTGAGTAATGCAGTAATGTTGTAACTTTTGCTACGCCTTTTACTGATAACCTGGCAATAACCCGCCGGTTACAAGTTCGGCTATTAGATCGAACGAGCCAATGACCTGTTACATGAGTCGTACCGTGCATGCTCAACGGAATCATGCTACGCCGCCACCCTTACATCCTCCGCGGCGCCCTTGATCAGTCTGACACGTACCAACTTGCGAGTTTCCTCACACAAAAACCCCCATCCTGCCCGAATGATAGCGCTTTAACATGATTCGGAGGCCTTTGCGATACCAGTCGCTTGCCTTTATGCTCTCAATGCAGATTTCCAACATCGCAGACCCTCTTCGTCATGGTGACGGACCCAGCATGGACAATCAACATCAGTCTCTTCTCTTCCGGCTGCCACGAGAGCTGCGGGATAAAATCTATGAGTACTACACGCATCAAGAGGAAGGTTATATCTACGATCCATCGGCCCAGAAGTTTCGGCTCGCCAACGGAGAAAAGATCGATGTCGCGTTGGTCTACACCTGCAAAAGAGCGGCACAAGAGATAGACGGTTTGGCATTTGAATCGAACACGCTCCGATTCAGCGTCCTTCCAAAGATTCCTGGCACTGAGACTTCAAGCTCTGTAGCCTTTTTCTACCGCAGTCTCCTGGAAGGGCGCAACATGTGTCTCCGGATTATGTTGTCATATGCATATCCCCTTGTCACACGAGAAGCCTTGAAAGAGCTGCGATCGAGATATCCAGGTAACACGGCAGTGGAAGAGCTAGAGAAAACGATTACCAGGGAGGGTAGAGCGGCCTTGAAGGAAGGCCGCCTTTACCCTGTGTCTAGATTGGATTATCTCATCAAAGACGCTATACTTCAGGATCTCATGCAGATTATTGCGAGGCATCCAGCGTTCGAGCGCCTCGTTTTGGGAGAGTACGATCCATCCGCCAAGACGAGTGCTCCATTGGATTATGACCCGGTTACGGATGACGAGGACGAATCCGAGGACGAGGATAATGACAACAGCCAGAGCAGAAGTCGCTCTCGGCCATCGGTATACACGAGAGACACCCTATACCAGATTATCGAGTGGAGGCCCACGTATTGGTGGATTCCGGAGAAAAAGGACCTTGATAAGGTCGCGAAATATGTTCCACAAGCACCAGAACTCGGGACTCGCCATAATGGTCGCGTCAAGAGATTCAAAAGATACTTCTCGGCAGCGGCAGCTGCCATTCAATTCCTTGAGCGCCTTACGCCCAAAAAGCGCGCCCAAGTGCACAAAATTGTTATCCAGGAAGATTACGCGAGCTTAGGAATCTCCCAGAACCACAAGAACCACACGAGCTTAGGACTCTCCCAGACCCACGCACGCGGGCTTGTTCCATATTTGCTCGAGAATCCTAGACTTCGAATAGAGCGACGCGTCGACATCTGGGGAACTGTGCTTAGCGAACGTTCCTACAGTGTCGAGCGCTGTCTCTGGGATGTTGCAACGTGGATACACGAAGCGAGTATGCCATGGATTATGGACCTGCCAACGGGTTCTTTCTCCTTGGTCTTACATGGCCCTGACGAGAGAGCCAGTGAGCTTCTCTGCAATGCCATGCGACAGGCTGCAATGTGGCAGGACGGCGCTGAAGAACTGACACGCCGGGGGACCATGCAGAGGATGACTCCTATAGCCGATGACTTCGTCGACGTTATAAAGGCGGTGGTGCGCGGCGATGTTCCGGTGCGTTTCGAGGCAGGCGTGCCCGAGCTATGGGATACAGACAAGATCTTGCGCGAGCAGTCCGACCAGTGGCCATACGCAGTTGATAGATTGAGATGCGTTACTGTTTTTCATTTCGGTATGCATGATGGAGGCTGGGACTCGGTTCGCTCAGAGCAGATGGAGGAGATTGAGTGGACGGATGGAATGGTCGTTCGGGGTCTATTTGAAACGGAAGATTAGCAGGACAGAACTACAATGGGGGCAAGATTGCGATGTGGGCTGGCAGTTCGTCTATTCGTGCTGAAATGTGTGGGCCTCAATGTGAAAACGTCGAAACTCTTGCGTAGAGAGTTGCATGCGAAGGGCGCCGGCCATGGTCGCGGCACACACGAAAACGCGCCAAGACCTACGTTTGACATGTTTGCAGTCAGCTATGACGTCAACCCAGCCGCGTCGCTTTCAACCAGCGCGGCCGAGACTCGAGCTTCCAGCATGGGCAGCAAGCTGATCACAATTACGAAGCCCAAGATCTAGGGTGGTACGCCTTGATCTAAATCCAGATACCCGCACATGCCAGCCATTGAAAGCGCCTGGACGCTGCCCCGGGCCGCTGCGGTGCATGAGATTGATTGGTATGCTGGCGGCATTGTCGAGCTTAATTGAGGTTAAATCAAGGTATACGCTTGAAATGAGCCCCACATCGTCACTCGTTGTAGATTATCCCGTTGGTGTTGATGTTGGCTGTGGCTTAATCCTGGGTAGAACAGGGACAAACGCAGGCACGGCAGGAACCTACGTCACTGCCCGCGTGCCTGCCTTCATAACGCGCCAACACGGACTCTTTGACTCCGCGCATACTCACGATACCCAGTTTCCCCCACTTCACCCCCCTACTCTTACAATTGACCTTTGTAAAACACAGTCAGAATGGAGACCATCACCAACCTCGCAAGCAATGCTGCCGGTGCAGCCTCCAAGCTCATCTACGGCGACCAGACCAAGGCGGACGAGGCAGTCGAGCAGACCAAGAACAACGAAACTGCCGGCAAGGAGCCTATCTCCGGTGAGCAGGGTCAGGGCACCGTCACTCAGCCTTACGACCAGGGCAATCTTGGTGAGTCCCCTCCAACGCGCGCATTGGACGACATATGCTGACCCCGCTTCACAGCGACCCCTCTAGCGACGGCTGATA